CTGTCGCAACAAACGTCTTATATCAGGAGACGATATACCCAGATAGGAGGTGTTGCGATATGTGGAGTTTGTCCTATCGCAACATACAGGCTTCATGTCGTGACACGGGTGCGACAGTTTATGTCATATCGCGATATATGGATTTCATGTCACGACATGGTGGGGGTGGGCATTTTGACCGGACATGTCATGTCGTGACATGAGTGCGGGGGGCGTTTGTCATATCGCGATATGTCGACTCCATATCGCGACATGGGGGCGGGGGCGTTTTGCCGGGGTATGTCATATCGCGATATGCGGGATTCATGTCGCGACATGGGGGGTGGGCATTTTGGCAGGGCATGTCATGTCGCGATATAGGGCATGTCATGTCGCGACATGAGCGCAGGGTCGTTTGTCATATCGCGATATGTCGACTCAGTGTCCCGACATGAGCGCGGGGGAGTTTTGTCGGGCTTTGAAATATCGCGATATATGAACTTAATGTCGAGACAGTGGCACCACGACAGTGATGCGCCAGTCACAATGGGTATCGCGATGTGATCGTGATGCGCGCACTCCAATCGTGACATGCTATCGGAGTCGTGAACGCGCTGTGGGTGCCACAACATTCTTTGTCTACTATTCAGTTTTGACCCCAGTGCGACTTCTCTTAGATTGATCAGTAATTAGAAACCAATGGATGTATTACTGTTACTGTATATGCAGCATGCTCATACAGCACACACGGTACACAGAATTTCCGCTGTGGCGCTTTACCCAATCAGAGTGTCGATTCTCACTCTTCACCCAATCGCGGCCCGAGCTGTTCGCGGGTTTAGCCAATCACGGGTCTGGGAGCTGTTCAAGCCAGCAGCGCCAGGTGGATCGGCTTGTTCACTGTCAAGGAGAATCTATTTTTAAAATGCTTGACGTATTTGCAAAATAACTACATCAGCTTACTTTTTTAACGTCTTTATTGATTCACAATGTCCCGTACTCTTCGAAATAAATACATTTATTTGCAATAGCTGTCTCCTCTGCTTTCTGTAATGAATACATGGTATTTGAACAATTTTAATCTTATATTTAAGGTAGAGGAAACGCCTTCTGCTTTGTACTTAAAAAATAAATAGAAATGTAGTCTTTATGATCATTATGCTATTATGCTCGTGCTTCCAATTTTGTTTTTATTTGTTGAATTATATCGATCGTGAAACTAATACCTGATCAAAAGATCTCAATTGATAGATCTAATGGTCTTAACGGCTGTTTTGTACGTCTTCAGAGTGACGTCACAGCCAGGAAAAAAAGTCGCTACATCGAAATACATTGAAACATCCACCCCACCCGACCAAACGGACTCAGAAAACAAATTGCCCTCATTGTTTTAATCAGAATCGGGAGTTCAAGTACCGAGTTTGTTGGTACCTGTAAACTTTCTTGTAGATAGTCACGTGATTACCCGAAAAAAAAAGGCACTATATCTTGGAAAAGAAAGCAGCACAAACGCTACTTACAGCGACACAAACCGGCACAAACACAGCACTAACGATTGGGGTGAGTTTCGTCGTTTGTGCTGCTCGGGTGAGCAACTTCATGGAGCAGGACAAGCAAACATGTCTGGGTCATTATACTGCAGACTGCAGAAGACTCGACTTCACCTGAGGATCTAACACAGGCGCCCATACCTGTGTCTTCAGAGGACAGGTGTGCCCTCACGCTGTATTCTACACCAAGGACTGCCGGAACACAAAGATACAAGGACTGTGAGCTTTATGTTTGGGCCTAAGACCCCTGTAAATACAAACACACAGATAATGACAGTTTATTAAATAATTCAGATATATGTTCACTGCAATTCTGCTGTGTGATTATACCACTCAAGGATTGCATTGTAAATTGGAGGGGTGCCCCTATGCTGGCATGACAGTCAGTTAGAGCCCAGGCCACCCACTTTTGCACAGGCCCACCCAAAAATCAATTCCTGGCTACGCCCCTGGCCAAGCAGTTATCACTGGTGTGTACATGTTCAGCTCACATTTTGAAAGGTTCTGGGTTCAAAACCCAGATCGGACACTGGTCTTGTACCTATGAGCAAGGCACTTCACCAATCCAGCTGTGCAAATACAGTACCTACCAAGTAGTCATTCTGGGTAAACTTGTCAATAAAAAAAAAGAATAAAATAAATTAACAACAATAACCTAATGATTTTATATTTTGGATTGCACCACCAATACCTGCCCTGGTTCCAAATTAGTCATCAATGTAGCAAACACTATTCAACTTCTTAACAATAAAACTATTCAAAATACATTATACCTTCTATATTTCAGTAGTTTATAAGCAAAACTAAGAAGGTCCATAAGGCCTAAATATGTGAAACCCCTTAATTTAGGAAAATGTGGTAAACTGCCCGTTCTAGTAATTGTTATTCAATGTCCACCAGACAGGAGATCACACTAACACATCCTGCACAAGCCAAAGGCTTTACCTGTATTTTATTTCTGTGTGTTTACACAAATAATTCCAACATATCCTCAGAGCTTTCACAAAAAATAAATTCTTTGATAAGAGTTTATCAGTGGTGTTTACCTTTAAGTAATTAAAAATAACTCATTTGAAATTCGAATGATGATGAATTCATTTTGTGGTTTTTGTCTTAGGTCTTCAACCATAAAAAAGATGCTATATGACCATCAATTACATAATAAAGTACAGTAACACACTTTTAGACAATGGTTCATAGTTGCTAGTGAGCAATCACTCCTCACTCTCAAAAATGTATATAATCAAGGATTTTTTTTTAATTCATAGGTTTATTTAATTTTAAAATGTCTGGAAAAGTACAAATGATATCCTTATAATATACAGTGTGCCTCTACAACTGTCACACAGATTGATATCAAGAGACTGTGTGCCCATGTCTTTTATTTTATGTAGTTTATTTTGATTTTATCAGTCTCCCAAACAAACCTTGAAGTGAGTATTTCTAAACTAGAAAACAAGCCATGAGATACATATTGCTAATACCGTACTCCATAAAATCTGTCATGAAAGCCAGTGAGTACTCCTCCCACGAGGTCAAGTACATGAAACTTCACACAGCTATACAGTTTGTAAAAATATCCTGTAGCAGTAAATACGATACATTTTCATCAGGCACTGATAAAAATCTTCAATAGTTTACAGTTGATCTGAATATCTTTTTTTTTTCAATTAAACTATATGAAGGGAAACAAAATGAGTACTCATTTTTCACTTGTTTCACTCCAAGGAAGAAAGTTACAGCACTAAGTCGTGTTCTCCATTTTCGTGACTAGTTAGTATTTCATCTGGCTTGTATGTCAGACTTTACACGTGTCGCTTTCAAAACAGAGGCTATTAAATACTTCCTGCAATTTTTACAAAATCATGACAAAAAGTATTTTTGATGCTAAATCGCTTGCTTTAGGTATTACTAGTGCGCCACACACTGTACTGCATTTCTTCATTAACCTCTAGCACATTCAACTTGTTGCTGTGCACGTTTCTTTGTGAGAGTTTCGTAACGTTTTAACCTGACAAAAAGCTGCTTTTATTTTTTTAAAGCCGGCTGCAAGACTGCTCGGTCTTTCGAGGGCGGGGCTTCCCCCGGGCTTCCCGGTTAGAGATCGCTCTCCCCGTACAGCGCCGTGGAGAAGGAGGTGTAGTCCAGGGCTCCCGGCACCTTCCCCGGCCCGGTGTAGGCAGGCATGCGCATGATGCAGTACTCCGCCTGCTCCGGAGGCAGCTCCCGGCGCAGCTCCTCGACCAGGATGTAGGGCTGGAAGGGGGGGACAGCAGACGGCAAGTGAGCCAGGCCCCGAGCGGCGCGGCAAACCGGGAGAGGAAGACACCGGAGGCGGCACACGAGAGGGTTATAGCCCATGTTTTATCACGTGCTTCGCTTAGAAAAGCGTCTCTCCTTTTCATCCCTTGCAACATCCGTGCACGTCTCCCCCAGCCTGGCCCAGAACATGGATTTGGGAAAATGGATGGATGTTCAGAACTCAGCTGCTTGCGTTTTTCAGCCAAATTAAAATGTATGAGGATACTCTACATCATTTGTTTTAGTAGTTCAGGGGGGTAGCTGCGTCAGCATGCGTAGGCTGGAAAGGAACAAGTAATAGGTATCCTTTCAGCATGGAATAAACCTCTTACTTGATCATCTCTTTTAGCATCCTTCCTTCCTTCAGCTCTCTGTAGATTTCACCATACAATTCAAAATACTGCAGCTCCCCTCCAAGGGCTTGAAACGTTTTACAACATCATTGAACTGTTAGCAATTAGTTGTTGCCAACTAGTACTAGTTGTTATATTTATTAATCACCATATTTTTGCACTCTTCCCCAAACTACTTTTGCACTGTTTTTGTCATGTTGTATTCTTTTCTCTGCGTATTTGCACAGTTTTGATTACACTGTTATTGTTATTGTGTTACTGTCTATTGTCTTGTCTTCAGTTCTATTTACATACTGCACCTGAGTGACTAATGAGAAACACTTTTCACTATACTATGCACCTGTGCAAGTATAATGACAAATAAAGTTGAATTGAATTGAACTACCACCTACACTTCATGTGCTATACAGTACATGCTCACTGGCCTTTTCTCAGTTCTCGTGAACAGTTATCTAGACTCATCCAGAGACTAGATAAGGTTGTTTGTGAGCACACTGCTTTTCAGGTGACTTTTGATCTCTATTAACAGTTAACGGTGATCTACATTGTAACAACACATACAGTACCCACATCAGGAGAGCATCGAAATCAGGTTACTCTGTCCTAGTAATATTGACCAGACGAAAAAGTTGTGACACAATTAATTTCTTTGACACTATTCCTGCTACTCCCTCCACTTCAGCTACTTGAAGTTTAGGATTGTACAGCGAATCTTGCAGGGAATCTTTCCAAATGTGTTCTTAATAGAAATAGAATAGAAAAAACTGTCACATGAAAATAATAATCCAAAACACTTTGTACTTATGTTAATTATTTTGAATGCCAATTTTCATTTTTCTTGTTAAGGTACAAACTAGGGTGACTATATTAGCAGAGTAAAGTGCTTCAATTATTTCTAATTACAAGGCCTCTGTGTATCATTGCAGTAGATTCAACGCATTTGCACAAAGAACATCTCTACATCAGCATAGTAGAATTCTTCCGACTGCCAGTACAGCAAAGTCTCTAAGGGGAACTTCCAGGTTTTCTTCATCTGCACACCTTATACCACAACGTCCTCTGATATTAAAAGATAGTATTAACTCTGGTTCAGGTCTTTAGGTATTTCAGCAGCTCGAAGTATACATATACATTTATATAGTATTACAGTAGTAGCAGCAGCACAGGTAGGTACATATCTTACAGAACCATAGTCTTTCCTCACCTTGTCCGCAGCAAGGATCCTGAAGGAGGCGATAACCTGTTCCGCAGTGTCTGTGTCGGCCGTCTCCCTGGTCATGAAGTCGATGAAGGACTGGAAGGACACTACACCTGTTCCATTGGGGTCCACCAGAGTCATGATGCGGGCAAACTCTACCTCACCCTGCGCATGGCATGACAAGACAGGTGCAGAATGAGGATTTAAACTGAGACATTCCTAACACTGCCTCACTCCCACATTTAACAAAACCATTAAGATAACTATCTGATGAATGCATTCCCTGACAAGAGGAAGGACAATCAGGTTTATCTTTGAGCTCATCTGAGAAGTGGGCATCTTATCGTATACTGAGAGGCAACAAAAACCACAACAAATTTGTAAAACTGTATTCAAACAAATTGCATTAATGCCCCTCGATTATTTTACTTATTGGTAGTCTTGATGTTTATTTGGTGAATGAAAAACTCTATCAAGCAAGTAAATATCCTATTCACAAACCCTGAAACTTTGGGGAAATATATTAATTAAAAAATCAAAAGCTAATTTCTGGCAAAATTAAACATAAGTGTTAAGGTATGCAATGCTAGAACAACAAGAACATACAGTAAGTTACAGGTTTGTATTGCACGAGTTAAGGTGACCACATTATATATAAAAACAACCTTTTTGGATCTAGCATGGCTATCTGCAATGTCTGTTAGTTTGCTTTATATGAAGCTGGCAAAAATATTATAAACAGTAGGCATATTGCTACTGCAAACTTCAGCTACATTCACGTTTTAAAATAATGTTCTAAGCTAGCCAATTGAATTTTTCACAGTTCCCCCTTATCACTGGAACATCCTTTCACAACAAGACCAAGACAGCAAACAGACAGACGTGCACACAGGAAAAAAAAGTTTGGCAAATTGTTGCATTTGTAATGCTTTTCAATAAAGAATGAAGCAAAATAATTGCCAATCCATTACAAACATTTTCTTTATAACAGTATGTTCAAGCCACTCACAGATGACATGAACATTGAACTGCATATTTTACATCCAAAAACTCATATGTAGGAGCACCTATTAAATATAAACCAGTCAATAAATAATTCTGTTAATGTGACCCTCTGCGTTTCCCAAATGAAATTTTCAACAACTTTAAAGTGGTTCTTCCCAATCTAATAATGGGATTAGCTTTGTGTGTGAGGGTGCATTGTGTTCGTACCAAGTCATAGCCCATGGAGATAAGACACGCTCTAAAATCATCAGTCTCCATTCCACCTTTCTTCTTCTGCAGAGTTACAGAGCAAGTGGAGAGCAGACAGGTGGGAGGAAGAGGTGTAGAAAACAGGAGTTGCACAGGGAAGCAGGAAGATGCAGTTGACAAGGATGGCCACATTCCAGGGATGGAGAGAGATTTCCAGTCGCAGAATATCATGGAGGAGGATTGGACCAGCATCAAAGATTCGAAGAAAGAGGAAGCAGTAACTGGCCCACAGACAAAGACAAGGGGGGATTGAGAGGCAAGACGGACAAAGAGAACAGAGGACAGTACAAGGATACAGCACAGAGACAAGTCAACAACACCAACGGCAACCACAGTTATAACATGGAGAAAAGAGAAAAAATACATTTAGTGTCTTCTCAGGAAGAGACAGTCTGATCCTGATGCAGATGCCACATACTATAAACATTCATGTCTGCGTGTAAAAATACAGTGCTTTCCATGAGGACTGAATGGTATCTCACTCTCCAGTCGTCATCTGTAAACTAACATTTTCCTCATAACAATTTTACGCAGATATGTTTTGGATTGTTTTCTTTTAAATCCACCCTCCTGGTTAAAGGGCTGGTCACAGATTTATGCATGAATATGCATGATCATTCAAAAATCCAGTAACATTGAAATGTAAACATCAATGTGATGCTTTGATGAACTCACTTGGGGAAACAAAGCTCTTTGTTCAATTTCTGAGCAATATCTCTAGGGCTGACCTTGCTGGTACGCTACAGTGTGTGTAAAGCAGAAGGTACAGTATTCGCATTTCTTCTTTATAAAAGCATCTGGCATAAAGCATCAAGAATGTAAGGGAAGCAGGCTGTCTCTCACTGTTCGCATGTCGCCAGCACGCTGGCTACCTGCTGATCATTTCCAACGTGGCCGAGGCTGATGAGGCAAGCCTTGAACTCTTCAGGGCGAAGTTTCCCTGAGTCATCCTACAGCCACAAGCAATCACCCACACCATGCAGCATGAAACAGTTAAAGATAAGGCAGGGTTAGGTTGTGCAATCACATCTGTCATCAGTCATCTCTCTGTGAATTATTTCTTTTTTGAGTCCAGAGCACTGGTGTGGTGTCTGTTAGCTGACCGGAAGCAGGGAGAGTACGATTTTAGACACACACTGTGAGGAACTCCTCAGGCGGCTCTGCTCAGGCAGGAGATATTGCTCAATAAGGTCAAAGTCAGGCAAACATGAACAATCTTTAGCTTGTGCAGCAAATCCTAATGAGGTCATTGTAAAGAAAATTAACAAATCAGTTAATATTCTGATACACATAAGATAAGAACACTCAGTTCTAACATTTTTATCAAACAGTATTGAAAATACTTATATATTGTAACACAAAATTATGTATTCCAAGTCAAAAGATTTTGTGGAAGAATGAAGATTTATATCTAATATATACAGTGGTATCAGGTATATCAATATTTTTGTGAAGTATCCTGGATGAATTGATTTGTGACCATTTAAGATGTAAATTAATAATGAAATATTGCTTCATAACTACAGTAGATATACTAAAAATGTTCCTGCACCACTACATTAACTATCATTAAACATCAAATTCTTCTTTGATAAGGTACCCATTTATCATTCTGAAGTTTCTGAATGTATGAAAAGACCATCAAATTAGTCTAAAAATACAAGTTCGTTTCCATCTTTAGAATTTTAAATAAACATCTCTTTGAATGAAATTTCAAATATGAGAAATGGAGTTCTGACACCAAAGAACTAATGTTTTGTATTAATGATACGGTACAAAACAGGATCACACAAACTGTACAAGGAAAAACATCTTAAAGCTTAAAGGTGATTTAGATATAGAATAGTTTTGCAACCATTTATGATGAGGCTGAGTAAGTGACATCTGTAGAAAAGCTCACTAAGGGAAGGTGTTTCCATGTTATAAAATGTAAGCATCCAAAGCAGCACACAGTATCTGTGAGATGTGTATCTTGTTAGTGGAGCACTGTACCCTATCAAAGTGGTTGAAGGAGGCCCTGAATTCATTCATCTGTTCCTGGCTGATGCCCTTAGCATCTCTGGTGAGAATCTGGGTTTCAATCTCGTTGATGGTTCTGGCAATGGTTGTCAGCAGGAGCTCCCAGCCAACACGGATGTGCTGTGAAGTTAGGCACAATAACAGTCGTTAACAGATATTTAACCGAGGCATGACGAACCAGCACGTGCCACCTCCTACAGAAACTAGTTTTCTGTCTTGAAGCATCAAAGAACTTTAAATTCAGAACAACAGTTTTCTGATACATCTAATTCTGTTCTTTAGAATTCTCATCCAAAAACCCAAAAATACCCATGACATTTTTCCAAAGCTTAGTTGATTTGAAACCACATGTACTTTCCGTGTAAGATACACGGAAGTACTTTTAACTTCCATGTGACCTAAACAGAAGTCCATCTAATACTGATTCAAGCCACACCTAGATGGTTCAGAGACATTTAAGGTACAGGATCATACCTCCATGGTATAGTTGGTGTGCTTATTGTCGAAAATAAGTGACTCCTGGATCAGCTGGTGGTCTCCCTCTAGCTTGTCGATGTTAGGTTTATAGGAGACAATGACGTGCTCATACTGCTTCAGCTGATTCATCTGGTCCTCCAGGGTTCCACTCATCTCAATGGAACTATGAGCAATTTCCTACATAAATGAAATAAAGGCCTATAGTCTTAAATTCAGAGCATGAATTCATACCACAGTGCTGCAAAAATGAAGCCCTTCTATTGAGTTAAAGACAAAGGTGTGAATGTGGTTTATTAGACATTAGACAAGTTCATCTTAGGATTTTCAGTTCTAAATCACAATCATTAATAAACCTGGAGGTGTTAATTTATGTACACTAATCAGGATTCTCCAGGCAGCAGCACACAATCAGTCTAGTGCCCCTACTGTTAGACAGGTGTTCTCAGCTTGATTAACAAAAGCAATCTCTAAGAGGGCATTTGTAAGAGAGGGATATATCACTAAAGTTGGTATTGCAGAGCTGGTAGAACATGTCAAACAATGAATGCCCTGACAGGTGGTGATGTCAGATCCACACTGGTCCTGTGCTACACTAGGGCTACAGAAGTTAGTACAACTGGTTGGCAAACGGGATTCCAAATTAGAAGAGAACAAAGAACAGACATTGAGTTAAACCAAGCTTTAAAACATCAGAGTGCCCTGTAGATCAGACAGCTCCAGATCAAGCTTTATTCATGTCATTAGGTGACTGTGACAGGGATTCCCTTAATATACAGTATAATAGGGAAGGCACCACTATATTAGGGTGGCCAGCTAGTATCTTCTCATCTTTAAGTGAAACAGTGACTTATTGGGTCCAAACAATCCTGCAGTGGCATGAAAGACCCAGCAGTCCTACAAACAGAGTTTGTGTTCGGTGCTACCAGTCCTCATTCTCCCTGTGAAGTACTGGAGTATAATCTTGCCACTGAGTCTTATACAACTGACAATACCAAAAGGGGTGGGTGTACAAAACCACAAGCTCTATCCATCCATCCACTCACCACTTTATCCTATTCAGGGTTGCAGGGGAGCCGGAGCCTATCCCAGCAAGCAATGGGCACAAGGCAGGATACAACCCGGACAGGGCGCCAGTCCATCACAGGGCACACACTAAGACAAACACGCACACACTCACACCAGGGCCAGTCTTGCAGGAAGCCAATTAACCTACCAGTTTGTGTTTGGACTGTGGGAAGAAACCAGAGCACCCGGAGGAAACCCACATGAACACAGAGAGGACATACAAGCTCTACACAGACAGCACCCCAGGAATTGAACCCAGAGCCCCAGAGCTGCAAAGCAGCAATACTAAACACTGTGCCACCACGCCACACCAGCCACCAACACGTAAATTAGAAACAGTCAAGCAGTTGCTAGGCAGCTGTTGAGGAGCCATGTGAAGGCAAAGGCGTGAATGATGCCTTCGTTTCTCACCTCCATCTTGTTCTGTATCCACGGGCCGATGACGTTGGCCTGCGCCGCGAACTGTCGGCGCAGGCGTTCGTTGGAGTGCTGGCGGGCGAGCTCCTCCTGCAGGGCCTGGTCTCGCTGCGGGACCAGATGCTTCACCTGCGCACGCAGATTCGGACAGAGGCTCAGGACTCGCGCCAGCTCGGGCATCAGGACTACAGCCCTGCCCCCCGCTGCTGATACAGTCCCCTCATTCAGCCAGCAGCACAGCAATGTTTTACAACCATCTGACTGCATCAGTCATCCCTTTTACTACAAATTCTGGACATTACCATGATGATTAATAACGTACCTGGCTGCTGACATTTATGTGATCAGGCAACCGTATTTCAGACAATTTGTCAATAAATGAATGCTTTTATTTACCAGAAACATGTTTAGTTATAATTCAAAAGAAGAGCTTTTTTATTTTCTAATGCCCAGCACTGATTCCTTAGGAATTTCAATATAACATTTTTTTAAAAAACAGTGCCGTAGCTTATGTATGATGTACAGGATATCCAAATAATGTAAAAGAGAAAATGATAAATGATTGTGTGCAAGGAGCACATAATCATCTCTGAGTGCTGGGCTTAGCTGAGGAGTGTAGTAAATTGAGCTGATTAACAAATGGCCAATTCCAAACTGGATGTAAATAAAAAAAAATACATGCAAATGTTACCCTGTCCCATTTGGCACGAATTTCTTCAGGCGTAATGGTACTGTAGGGGTTCGTCTGAGACAGGTTGACACCGTAGCTCTGGACGATCTTCTGTACCTCATTGTGGATGCCCAGAATAGCCTGCCTCTCGCTGTCAGCCTCGGGCAGAGTGGCTTTAAACTGCTCGTGTGCCGATATCAGGCTCTGGGAATTGGAAAGGAGGGATTACCTAATGGCTACATCTGTGGAAGATCTTTGCCCCAGGATCTACGCGATACCAGTGGAGCACTAGGGGATGGTCCTGTATTTATGGGAATGAATAATGTCAGAATAAATGAAGTTTTACCATTTCATAAATCTGAGAGGCAGGACCATCCAAACAGACTTTAACTGAGCTTTTTATGTCTAGAAAGTCAAACGTAACAGGACATGGACAGCCGTCTCACCCTTAGCTAGACAGTACGGTGTAGCTAACTTTGACAAGCGGCACAGATATTCATGTGTTTTTCCTCATAAGCCTGTCAGTCTTCCAAAAAGGCAATATTATTAATATTTTTCCCCACTGTTAATAATGACTGCATGCTACACACACGTATATTGTGTTGTTTTTGTAATGCAAATTGATTTAACTGTTGATATTGTTACAGTTGTTCGAACTGGCTATTGGGGTGTCTCAGGATTTCAGGACAAAGGTCAACATATGAATAGTATCTCGGGAGCTTCAGACATGAAAGGAATGAGATGTTCATTGATCTGGGACACACTGGTCAAAGAAATCATAAAGTTTACCTTAGTTAATTAAGTTCTTTCGGAAATAACCCAGAGACAACCACAGTCCAGTAACACAGGATAAAAGGATAGAGAGAGAAAGGAGCAGAAAAGGGTAGAAAGAGGAAGACAGGAGAGAGGATAGAGAGGAAGACACAAGGAAAGAGAAGAGACTGTGCCAGGCGGGAGATCTTGGTTCAGATTAGCTTTTAAGATTAGATTTGAGTGAAGTATTCAAACCTCGTTAAGAGAGATTGTTATTCTGTTGTTTTTAGGAAACTCTGATTTCCTGTATAGGAAATCCCTAGGTTAAGAATGGTCTCTCCTGGTTCATGGATGGCCTGTTAGAACAGGGACAGATTTCCCATTGATTTTGTAGCCACTAGATTTATCTAGAGAGAGATTCAGCTCCAGGTCGTATTCTGTTTGCTTCAGACCACACCTTCAGGCATGTTTATCTCTCTTTTCAGCATTATATACTGTAACAGCATTTGGATTTGAATACCTGGTAGAAGGTGGTTGGTCAGGACTAGGCCTCCGAGTTGCCTTTCTTGTCAACAGAGTAACGTGTATGTTGTGTTCTATGTTCTTAGTGTGTTATTGAAATTATTAAACTAATATTTTTAACCCAGTGTGCCAAATGTATTACTCATGTTGCCAAAGCTGTGCCAGAAGGATCTCAAGTCCCACTGATTATACCAACTGCTGTTCAGGTACTGTATATTCTTGGCATATATTTGATCATTTATTTTTATGATTGATTGCCGTACTCAGACAATTTGTGGTAAAGCTTTATTTTTGCAAATCTCTATCAATAACTATATACTGAGTGTTGTTGTGGCTCTGTGGCTCAGAATCTGCACCTCTGGCTGGAAGGTTGCCGGTTCGTATCTCGCGGCAGAGGAATCCTACTCCTTTGGGCCCCTGAGCAAGGCCCTTAACCCCAACTGTTCCAGGGGCGCTGTATAAGTGGCTGACCCTGCGCTATGACCCCCAGCTTCTCTCCCTGTCTGCGTGTCTCATGGAGAGCAAGCTGGGGTATGCGAAAAGACAAATTCCTAATACAAGAAATTGTATATGGCCAATAAAGTGATCTGAAAGACACTGAAAATAAAGGGGTCTCTGCATACCTGGATCTCATCAACAGTGTGCACAATGAACATGTCCTGCAGGTCCTCCATGGCCCCCTCCATCCAGTTGTTAAAGGGCGCTGCCCTCTTGGCAAACTCTAGGTACAGCTGGTCGATGGTTTCCAGCAGCTTTTCCGCCCTCTAAAATCAAGAAAACCAAGAGAGGTGACACTGCAGCAGGCCACGTTTTTGTGGTTAAAACATAACTGCAATAAAAATACTGTATTTAAATTTCAGCACACATGCAGAAACATACAAATAAGTATGAGGCTATTGCTTCACAACAGATTACAGGGACACTTTTTATGCTCCAAAATATGCAGCTGTTGTTTCACCGCTGCCCTGTACTCATCCTTCTAAACTGGGCTGTTGTACAACTTTTGCAAAAAAAAAAGAACTTGTGTCACTGACAGTGTGGGCTTTTGGCTAATGCTGTATCCTTGCACATTTACGGGTTCATAAGTTCACCAGGGATCAATAAGGCTCGCACTGCTGCTGTCTAGTCAAGTGAGCCAAATTTATAATGGACTGAAAATCCCTGGATATTCCCATACCTCAAGTGCTTCCCTCCTTTTCTGTGTCAGTGTTCCCAGTTTGTCCCACTGGTCACAAATCTTCTGGCATCTGTCGTTCACGGAGGCTGCAGCGTGGTAGTCCAGCTCGCTGAGAAACCCAGAGGGGGATTAGGGACACATTCATCCTCTTGTCATCCACGGCCTTAAATGTCAACTTGTAAAAACAACTTCCCAATTCACAGACCTCGTTTCACTGCCTGCTATTAAAATACAGAGCATGGCCACAACTTTATCAGCGTGGAGCGTTCTCCTGCTTGCTGCATTGCCATTTTCATTGCCATCGCCTAACCTTATTGTAACTTTTACAATGTCTTTTAAAAATGTCAGACGTTTTTCGAGTTTTCCAAGTTCCACTTTCAGAAAACTGAGAAAAAACTAGCATTTTGAATTCTTCTGTGCTATAGTCAAAGATTTCCTTCCTCTTTTGCAAGTTAACTGCAGTAACACAGTGTGTGATGTCCTGCTTCAAGGTAGGAGATACAGGAACAGTTTACTTAACAAACAGAGGAAATGATTCAAGGGGAAACCAATTTAAAAGCAAGCAAACTTGGTAATTAAATGAATTTTGCTTGAGGATAAAGGGTATCAGCATCCTGTTTTTCATTTGGAGGAACAATGCATGTCTGATAATTAAAGACTAGGCCACTGACATAGCAAAAGCATGCTATAAGCCTAAATAAACTTGAAATCCTGTGCCCATTCTTTAGAGCAACTATGAGCTTTCAGACTCTTATGCTAGGTCTGTAAGAACTGTACCAACATAATGAAAAGGTTGTTATACAGGCCCCTGCACTTACTAACAGAAACTGAACCATCAAACTAAGTGGAAAAAAGCCAGCATCTACAAACAACTCTCTCTGTACTACATGCATGCAGCTGTTATTGTAGGGAATATCAAAGCTGCAGAGACTGCAAAAAGGGAACAGCTCAAGGGCAGCCAGACAATTGTTCTCCATTAATGCAGAACTACATGAATCAGAACAGACTGTAATCCTGGATACATAGTGTGAAATGCTACAAAGTCCATGCAGCACAGGAATGGTTTAACATGTCACAATCACAGCTCAATAACACGTCTAATTAGATTCATAATACGATGGGTCACAGATCATGTATTTCCTGTCTTCACTTTTGTGTTATTATTTTAAAAATGCATGATTCAACATCATTTAAGACTTGGCATCCAATTGCAAGAAGAAAGTTATTCCACATGTGTTCCTGCTAAATTATATCCTGTTGTATTTCAGGAAAGAAGGGCCTGTCAAGTTAATGTTGCATTTACAGTTAAAATAATCACTGTAAAATTCAAATCACAAACGCTCACAACGATGTCCTGGAAGAACATATCTTGTTGATAAATCCATCCTAGACCATATTTTTGCAGTCTATTTATAAAAAGATTACCATTTAGAGCCGTAATGTTGTAATAATTGGCAGCCCTTTTGAAAACAGAGTTTAAAGAGAAATATTATAGCTTTGTCTGGCTGAGCTGTAACTGCAAGATTTTATAGCATGAAAGTAGATTAGGTGATGACGGGAAGCTGGACAGGGTTTTGATCCAACTGTGACATAAGAGCCACTATCCTTTGACATGAGTTATGGAATAAGGTATGCAGATGGGCCCCAGCGACAGAACAGAGACTTCCACAAATAGACAGATTAATAGATGAACAAGCAGTGTGGAAACATAGGTAACCATGATCACCCTCCTTCGCCCCATCTATCAGTGATTGGTTGTAAAGATGACAATAAAAGCTGTCGGAGAATGAAAGTGGCAGGTGCAAATGAGGTTATATATTTAGAAGTCTGAGCTGGTTGTTCAGGACGGAACACTTTCCGTTTCATGCGCAAAGATCGCAAAAGGAAAAAAGTCCTGTTGGATAAATGCAGAAAATAAGAGAAATTTAATCTTTTTAATCAAGAGTTCGCTGCTGTTTAAGACGACAAAGGATTATACTGTATATGCAGAACATTATGATTCCTGGTGCACCTCTGACCATAAATGGCAAAGAACATAAATTGTACCATAACTTAAAATCATAAAAACACAAAAAAAACAATTAATCCAGTGATATTTCTACTGAAATAATCAGGTAATCTGTCATTTCTTCTGATCTATAAAATCACTCAATTAATTATTTATTTTAAGACATCTCTTATCAAGTACAAATATCAGTTTGAGAAGTTTGATTTTCAATAAACAGTCAATCTAGGTCTAAGTACTTTGTTAAAATAAAATCCACTACCTTATAGGAAAGCTGTAACACAGTTAAATCTGAAATATGTCTGAATACACATGGATTTGATCATATTTTTTTCACACACTAGATGGAGTACTTGCGCTTTTGATAGGGATTTCAGAAAGTAACAATTGTCTTCAACAAACAGGCTTCAGTAACTACAGGAGATCATTCCCTGTCTGAACTCTTAGTAATATAACGCAATGTGCTTTTAAAAAAAACAGACCTTTTCAGTTTATGATCTTCCTGACAAGCTGTGACAGGGAACTTTACCAAAACCAATCAAAAATCTCAACCAGAGAACAGCCTCACTCTAGAGCCTGGGTTTAAGATAGCAGACAACACCTTAAAACATTTAAACAGTATTCAATTGGTAAGATTCCGAGCCAGAAGTTTATGAGGCTTCTTAATTCTCTTTCATGTATGTACTGTATCAATAAAAGAGAGCTATTTTATCCCCAGTAAAGATCTGCTTCAGGAATGCATAAAAGAATCAACTTGCACAATGCTTGTCTGGTCAACAACGTAACGTCATCGTTCTAAAAATTCCCTAGAGACAGTCTATAAGGGTAAGCAAGATTAGAAAGAGGTCACAGGAAAAAGTAAGAATCTCAAGCCCTCTTCCTGCTGTAAGATAAAAAAATGCACTTACAAAACTATCTAATGAATTCCTTAACAATGCATATGAGCCCTTTATCAGTTAAATGTCAGCAGCTGTGAGCCTGTAAATGGAACATACTTCAGCTCTTGGGCAATGGCAGCAATCTGCTCCACTCGGTCCTGGTGGGCAGCCAAGTCGCTCTCAAAAGCCTCATGTTTCCGCAGCAGGGCTCGCACCTCTGTCAGGGAGGCCGACTCGTAGTCCCTCTGGGACAAAATCTGCTCCTTGCCTGCATCATCACCAAGCACAGCGGAGCAAAGGAAAGGATCAGCACATTATCAGGAAGGATTTCACCGGCTTTTTGATTCCTTCATTCGATATACAAAAACACTTCCCCCACTTAGGACAGAAATAGGAAAAAACCCAACCTTTCGCTTCTCCGTTTCACACCTGTGTTGTGCTCTACAGCCAGATATGCACAACACATTTCACAGGTCGGCTTTGCCCCCCAAATGTGTAACTAACAGGATTCCTCAACAATGACGCAAATCCACAAGAACCACCCTGACAAGATAGAGGCTCGCTCAGGCTCTGCATGGACTGGAGCACAACGCCAGACTGTTGCTGAGAGAAAATAATTCTGCAAAGGAGGCAAAAACAAACTTTTTTTCCCAGAAAAATAACACCAAACAAGGAAGTGCTACAGAAATAATAATGGGAAAGTTTCTATCCAAGGAAGAAATTTCAAACTTGGCCCAGGCAAAGATAAAACAAGGCAAATTAATAGCACTAGCTTAGACATTGCAAGTGCTCAAAGCACCCGAGATAAAACCCTAACCTAAGATCTCGACGGATTTTGATTGAATTCTATCAGGTGTATTTAAAGAAACAAGAGTTATTCATAGACCTCTTAATAAAAAACTCTTTCAACCATGAGGACAATGAAACCAACTAATTATCAGCTAAAACTGCGGCTTCTAAAGTTTCAGAAACTGTAATGAAGACTAAAATAGAGGACCATCTATATAGAAAAGGCATTGTCTGGGAGGCAGCTTAGATATAGAAAAAGCAGATAATCAATTAAACCAAAGTCATGACTACTTGACATTAAAGATCCAGCAGTTTTTTTCCTAAGAGTGGGGTTTTAACCAGGATGGCCTGGCTAAATTCCACTGTGTCTGATGCTCAATACGCACCGCATCAATTCCCCTTTTAATGCCAGGAGTAAAGTAATTTGTCTCTAATCCACCTAACCTGCTGTGTATTGAGGATAGAGGAGGTGTGAGAGCTGCCACAAAAGGCTATACATTTTGGCTAGGGAAAAACAGATAAAGCAGAGTCATCAGTCCGCCACGCTCCTGTTTCGCTGTGCAGTTGAGTTAGTGTTGACAGACACTGTGACCTCACCGTGAGCCCAGCCGTCGTGGATGGAGGCCTTCTGGCGAAACTTCTCGGCCAGGTGGTCCAGCCTCTCCAGCCTCCTGATTTCGGTCAGCAGCCACTCCTCATAGCCCTTCTCTGCCTGCTCCAGGTTCTGCCAGGCGCTCGCAATGTCCTGGGAGCCAGCACACAGCCTCTTCAGCTGGGGTAACCTTTCAGTTGGAAACTTTTCCAGCCATCCACCCAGGATCGCAGAAGAACCGGAGCCTATCCCGGCAAGCAAAGAGCACAAGGCAGGGGACACCCTGGACAGGACGTCTGTCCATCGCAGGGCACACACACTCACAAAAGGGCCAGTTTTTCCAGACACCAGTTAGCCTAACCTGTATGTCTTTGAACCGTGGGAGAAAACCGGAGCACATGGAGGAAACACAGGAAGAACATACAACATACATACAGCTCAGATCCACAATTGAAACCCAGGATCCCAGTGCTATGAACCAGCAATGCTAATCACTGCACCTCCATGCCACCCAGTAGGTGCCTTTTCTAAAACCAGCTACATATCTGGAGTATATGGCATCACTGCTTGGGAAATATTACTTGACACACAGCACTTTGGATCTGAACGCCCGCAGTTTTTTTAAATAACTCCAATATAGGGCATAGATCCAAATCACACACAACTATGATCTTAAATCTCCTCTTAAATCCTCTCGGCACACTGTTTACTGGCAATTGCTTTGTACAATTTAGATAAGACTCCATCTCCCACTATTTCATATTCCTGATATGAAACTGGGCCTGTGCAGAATTTTCTCATATGAAACCTCCTTCATGGAACATTTCCTGCCTAAAATGTTGAGACTGTCTCTCACCCCCTCCACTGTGGCTTCACACGTCTCCCGTCTAGGATACACCTCTGTGTCCCCAGGTGTTATACTAATAGACATATGAAATCTTCCATCCCCACCGCAATATCTCTTTCAAACAATGTCTTGTAACTATCTTCTACCTTATGTTACTGTAACACTGTTGCACTGACGCCCTGGTTGGTAAAATGTTGTCTGTCATTGTGTTGTTGTGTTGGGGAGTGTGCTGGAAAACAAATTTCCCCAATGGGACAACAAAGCTTGAATGGAACCGATATTGAAATTGAGCCTCAATGCCAGTGCTTAAGGATCAGTGATACGTGTTGCTTTCTTAATGCTGTTTCAAAACATTCGAGAAAACCCCACCAAGATACATAGACATCCATCACTCGTCAGGCCTGGCCCAGGAACTGGAGAAGCCCGACTCACTTACAGACACCATCTTGCCCTCCGAGGGCATGAAGGCGGGCCGGTTGCTGATCCTCAGCTTGGTCTGCAGGGTGTTGAAGTTGATCTCCAGCTGGCACTTCTCCTGCACCTTCGGGGGCTTGTGCTTTCTCCGGTAGTCCCGGAAGTCCTCCAGCTTCTGCTGCATGGCAGCCATGGTCTTCTCTGCGGTGCGGTTCTCCAGCCAGGGGGTTGTGCGGCGGATCCACTCCAGCAGCTGGTCCCCCCAAGGCAGAGACGTTTAATTGCATTGCGGGGCACCATGCCTTCAAGCCAGAGTATAACCAGCAGAGCACTAGAGGCGCCCAGATGATAATTCCAATTCCTACTGTCTATCTTTTATAGATATTTGCCACTGGACTTCCTCTGATATGCGTTGATTGCCAGAAGGTTAGACTATCTGCATGAGGCACTCATCTAGTCAAGATAATTCTGAGACTGAGGGGGATTGCAAAGGCTAATCGCTTTAAAGGGCTTCCGTTTTTGTTTTGTTCTTAAACTAAAAGTTTAGATGAAAGGTTAATGTACCTTAATCCAAGCTATAGTATAATACAATACACATCAATTACAGCAACTGTGCTTTGCCAAAGCATGGCAGGCCACTCTGGATGAGTGAGGTATGTGCTAATGCCGAGCCAGAACTGTGGCTGTACCTCACTGGCCAGGCGCTCATATTCTTCCATCAGCTTCTCATTCTCTTGGTTCACTCCCAGCACTTTACAGATTCTGTTGGCGGCCGTCTCAGCCTGTGGACAGAAGGTGACAACCTCTCATCTCCAATCCAGCTTTATTAATGAGCCCCTGCTTCTCAATACCACACTGAAAAGGGGACAGAAAGAACACAGAGTTGCGGCTGTTGAGCCTCCTTGAGGCTGAAGAAGGCCCAATCAACAAATCAACATGCTTATTCTTTCTTACTGCTTTTTGCTGTCAAATGAACCTATACTTGTTCGTTTGTTCACTGATGCAGCCCCCCGTTCAAACCCCATCTTAACAGTGTTAGTACTTTGTTTATTGTTTGGGTGGTTTGTGCCCCAACATGGGGCTTGTTCAGTGTGGAGGCGGTGCCCCCGTTTAAGGGTGAGAGTTGCCTTGACAACCACAGCTGAGGCGGCTCATTTAAGATGAGACGCCACTGTGGGGGTCCCTCGAGAACACACTGAACACCTCCGGGGGGGACCAGTAAGCGGGACATCAGCCCCGAGTCAGTTGTAGCTGAGAGAGAGGATGTACAGTAGGAGATTAGCTCTCCTATAACCGAGGCGAGGCTATGAGAGACGCTGGGTGGGCGGGACGTTGCTGGCATGACTTTAGCTGAGAGCGCATAGAGCTTGAAAGAGAAAAAGAAGACCGATTCATGGTTTCTAATCCCCGCAAGGGGAGAATATAAGAGCGACGGTCCTGGAGGGGATAGTGGAGAAACAGCGTAAAAGTGTCTATTTTACAGTTTTTTTTCCCCTCCTCTCCTGCCGTGAGTTACCACCGGGACAGGCCGAGTCTTTAGGCCTCACTCTTTTGTTTTTCTTCAGCCTGGACACCACTGCCCCTTTTCAAGTCCAGTCTGGACCCCGTGGTCAAGCTGACCTCACGTCGGTGCCCCTGCCCCCTCGAAAGGGCACAGATTTTTACCAGCAATCGCCGCGGCTCCTTCAGACCCACCTTGTTACAGGTTATTTGTGAGAATTTCAAGTTTCTGATTCAATAACAATCGTTATCGTTTTCTCACAATGAAGATTTCTCCGTTCAGTCAAAGACAAAGAAAACTGTATACTCCACTTTTAGGAATTCACTCATTCTTAGAAGGTCTTATAAAATGTTGCTTAAAAGCATGAACATTATCTGGCCCATATAAAATCAATACAACACCCAAAGATAAGACCCTTCCAAATACACAGGTGGATGTAAACATCTCATTAAACTGGCTTATAGTCCAAATCCTCAAAATGTTAATAAATCATCTAATGGAGCACATCAGCTATAGTTCATTTATATTAAATAAATCTCCCTCATACTGAGGCACAGTTATTGATTCTTATTGGAATTCTGCCTGGTTCCAGTCAGACAGACTTTCATTAAAGTGACTTGACAGCTTATATCTTTGGAAAAAAAAGATTTATTCCTGTAACTTTCAGAAGGCATTACCAATGGCCATAGAGTAATGTGTAGATTCTAATCAGCTGAAATTGTACTGATATTATCGACAGTACAGACATACCGGAGTTTTGCTTGTTTTCATCAATCTACCAACGCATTTGATGCGTATTTTAATTTATACTTAAACCATTTAATGAAGATGTTAAGAAGGCTAAAAGTGAGACTTGGAAACAAGGGTTATGTTTTTAATCAACTGCAAATGTTAACAAACCTCATGCATTGTTCACACAGTTCTGTACACGGGAAATACCTGCTCCGCTCCAGCAAATGCATGATAGAAGCAGGACACATAGGTCATTATAGCCCTCTCATCAGGCTTGGGAGTGTTGACAATGTCTGCAATGACGGCATAAGAGCAGGAAGAAGGAGAAGAGAATTGGAACAACAGGGAAAAAGCACAGAGGGCACTAATGGAGGAGACGCCAGAGGGAGACACTGTCTGAAGGAGAGAAGAAAGCCTGTTTGTGGGAAAAGAAAGGAAAGGTGCTCAAAGCGAAAATGTTCTGGGTCAAATCTCCTCAAGCACTGAACACAGTTCTCCAGATGCCTCAGTTACTTCAGGTGACAGGAGTACAGCCAAACGACGTTACTATACCCTTCCCCCAAGGCAAGTAGAAAGGTCTACAATCTACTTTAGGGCTTCTTGCTTTGCATTCCAAAAGCATCCACTTGATCTGATAACCGATCCTCCCATCACCTTCAAGCTCTTTCTCACATTCTTTATTTTGCAGGTGTGTTTTCAGTTCCAGAAAAACGTTCGGATGACTTGACTTCCGCTTGAGCAGTTATACCAGAAGGTGTGACTCCAGAACTAAGAAATATAAACTATAACATTCATGGCAGCAAGGAGGCGAACAGGAGCCGAGAGGCAGAGGTACAGTAGGTTGTTATTTTTGTCCCCTCACCTTCTGAGCACCAGCAAATGCATGATAGTAACACGACACATAGGTCATAATGGCCTTTTCATCGGGTCTGGCCGTGTTTACTACATCTGTGTAGAAAGAACAAGGTCATCTGTTCAGTTCAACAAGCACATGCTGATCACTTTGACCTCATGCCTCTGGAGAACGCAGATATTTTTTTGTGGTTCTTTATTTTAATGCACTGTATACTGCCCAGCTTCTTTCAAGATGTTTTTGATGTATAGACAACATATACAGTATCTTGATTCAGCTTATCTGACATGTTATGGTTCATGTCTTCTAAAAGACCAGAAGGTTACTGACAAATATCAGTACCAATCTACAGCACAATGCTTTTACCACTTTGCCAGAAGAATTGGTACTTTATTCCATTTTATACTAAAGGGTAACTTGAATGCTCCTACAAATAGTCTCTTGAAAGGAAAGAAAATGATGTCCACTAGAATAACTCTTGTAACTCTGTAACACACAATCAACAATAAAAGGCACTATTTAGTTATCCAACATAATGCTGGTGATCTAGAATAGACTGTATAAAAGCTAAAAGCACATTTTTCATTTAAAAGATTTTTTGTCCAAATCACATGAAGGAATCATAGGAATCCCATTTTGTTTTACATACTGTAGCAACAGTTTGATTTTAAGCATTTTTACCTTCTGCATCCAACATTTTTGGGATGTCTAGGTGTTTCTCTGCAATTTCCAAAGCCAGATTCAGGTTTCCAAGCGGATCATCCTAAATGCAAAATTGAAAAGCATGTTTTAGCAAATATAATCAAATATCAAATATTATACAGAAACATTCAATCTACAAAATGTTATATTTATAGTATAAAGTACACATATAAAAAATCTAAGTTATTATAAACAACTAAATCTCCACTGGTCCTGTTGTTTTTCAAAACATCCAAAAATTAGGTTTTTCCCCATAAACTGAAACAGAGCTGCTGGGCCAGAAATTAAACATGCGATCCATTCTGTAACAGTTGGAGACAGGGACTGAGGTCCTGTACTTGTCTGTATTATAAAGATTTTGTATATGGATAGCAAGACCTGGAAATGGGTTTATCACATTGTGCAAGTTGCTCACTTTGCACATGTGTCCAAAGTTTAAAATCATTCGGAAAAGAGAATGATACATCCTTTGTAGTTATTTTTTTTCCCATTTTCAGTCTCTTCCTTAGGTGCTCCTTTCCTGCCTGTGTGTAGTGTGTGTAACTACAGTAACTCAGTGCTGGGTCACTGACGAACTCACTCACATGATCCTGTTACCTAAGTTACCTGTGTAAGATGACATACTCAGACAAATTATATGTTATATACTCATTTTTTGAGAACGGGTTTCTACTAAATATTTAAGAGTTTACAAGCATTGGACAATATCACCTTTTGTTACTTTGTCCTGTTTGTCAGCAATATTCATGTTATGTAGATCTAACATTTCCAAAATAAAAAGCTATGGAAATGCAAATTTCCTTTTTTTCATGCTTAGAAAACATTTACACTCAACATACAGACAACCGAGAATTAGTAATAAATAAATCTGGTGCATAATTTTCTCCCTAATTTTACTTGAAATCATATCATTGTTACCTCATGAAAAATATTAATACAATGTACACAGGATGGTTCTATACCTTTGCCTTGAGGGTAGGGCCAAAGACTAAGCCTGCCATTAAAGATAAATCATACACTTCAGATAAATAACTGCAAGCTTCTGTAATCTCGCACCTCTCACAACATATTGTCAGTGCCCTAGAAGCTTGGTGTGCTGGTGCTTACAATGATGCTTTCCAGATAAAGGAATGATCATTGGAAAAAGTGCAAAACAAAGCACAGCTGCAGATTCTTTCATCTTATAATGGTGTCTCTGGGCTCTACTCTACAGTCCAGCCTAAAGCAAGCGACTCTGGCAAGTCCAACTCAGACATTTGCATTGTTAATATCTGAGCTTACCAGAGTCTGCTCAAGAGAAGCCAGACTAAACAGCTGTGCCTAAAATATCCTCTGCTCCAGACACAAGGTGACATAGCTCTAAGGTCACAGATCAAGACAACGTTCACTTTCCCCATGAGCTCCCACTTTGAAAGTTCTGGGCCGGATTATTTATTTTTTTTAAGTCAAAGGTCGCAGCCAGGAAAGAAACAGAGCTCTTCAATACTCTCAAAGGACACACCTCAAATTTCAAAACATTAAAAAGCAAACCTTTTTATGCTTTTACATTTGTGGTAAGATGTTATCATAACATGGAATGTATAATGTTTGGGTTCAAAATAAACTTTGCACACCATTTAAGGCCATTCAAATATAGTATTAAGAACATTAATAGCATTGACAAACCTCATACGCCGTAATCTTGACACTTGAACACTATAATTGATTCCAAAAGACTTAAAACACACGAAGAAGAAAAGACAATGATCTCCTATGGTTTCTATATGGATTCCATACTCCATAATATTCTGGAGAGTTTGGTTGGAGGAGAGCACATTCGCACACAATGAACTCCTGCTGCCTTTATTAGCATTTAGTTCCCTGTTCATTCTGTACCCTAGAAGCCACTGTGTGCTTAAGATCACCCAGTCTAAGGACAATAGCAGCAATGTCTACTCAGGATCACCATACAGACATTTATTCTGCACCTATTTCTACAACACTAAACTCCTACAGTATATAACATTGAGAAGTTGATCTTAAAAGAGACTAAAAACCAGAAGGGAATACTATTCTTTAAAGGTCCAAAACTTTGTCAAGAATCCCCCTATCTTAGTCTTCCCATGTCATGTGGATCAAGATTTATTTTCAAATAAATTTATTTTCAGGCCATTTAAAAAACGATATTAAACTGGGTCTTGCCATTTTGTTGAATGAATGACAGAGATATTGATAACAGAAATTTCAGCACTTTCCATGGCAAATTTGAGTGCATTTTCATTACATTTCCCATCCCTATAAACCCAATGTAACAAAATTAGAATATAAAAATGTACCCACATGACAAAGAATGACCTGTTCCATTCTCGGCTGTACTAAAGTGAAAAAGACCAGCTAAGAGGGGATGCGTTTCTACAAAAGAAAGTCTGCTTATGATCACTGACGTTTTTCACATGGAGAGAAAGGCAGAGACCCACTGAGGTCCAGCATGTTATTTCAATACCTCATTGAGACTGTGAAAGTCAAGCAGATCCGGCCTGTGTCTGTGGATGAGGGCACTGAATGCCAACCCATCCTTCCAGCTACACAAGACATCCAATCGCAATGTAACAATGAAAAGGATTGCATGCAAGGAGGAAAAAACACACAAAACAAAAGTGGATATTTTCAGGCCAACCAATAAAGATGTAGATCCTCATATTTAAATTTGTTTTCTTTACGCATAAATCAGAAAGCCTTTAGCCCTTTGTATGGCAAGACTATTTAGGGCTGTACTGCTTTTCCCACTGATCACTAGCTAGAGGTAGAGGCTGCACAGTCTGGAAACACACTGCAGTATCACAGTTAGTCAATGCATCAACTCAACCGGTATTAAAAACGCATGCAGGCCACACATGAGCATGCTGTCAAAATCTGTCAAGCACACTAAAGACCTTATTGAGCTTGGAGTAGTCAATGAGATCAGGTCGATGCCTATGAATCAGGGCGCAGAAGGCCAGACCATCTTTCCAGCTTCATATTTAGGGGAAAGAAAATCATGTTAGATGATATCCTAAAACAGAATAACACAAAATAGATGTATTTCGACAGTCTTAACAACGAGGTGGCTCACAGGACAAAACACCAGAGTGGCAACTCACACGTGGTTGATTACACACCTCTTTGCTAAGCTAGGCTGAGTTTATATTAGGAATTCTCCATGAAGCCTGGCTGCATTAATTCTCAACAAGGTCAAATCCAAATAGATATGGAATGATACAAAGAGACATCACTTTCTAGGTGTCTTTAAAGCAACAGCATCTAGATAGCTGCTAAATGAGTCCACCTGAGCCACTAATGAGATGATTCAGGTGAAGAGCACAGCTGGACCTCCAGGACCAGGACTGTCCTCCCCTGACATAGTCCATTCAGAGATAACCTCCATTGAGAACTGACTAAAACCGGAGTTCAAAATGATCAGAATTTGAAAATGAAATCAAAATCATGCAAGAAAAGTGTTCAAGAAATATTTTGGTTACATGTCTATTTCCAGTAGTTTCACAGACCCTGTTTATCACTAATCCTGGACTGCCAAATGTTGGGTTAGATAAGCATTTCTGGGATTATTGCTAGGGATCAGGCCTCAATAAGGTCAGGATTCAATACTACATTAGACACCCAATATTTAATTGGAGTGATTTTTTGTTTTCTTGATAGACAATTGTATTGTACCATCGGTAAAGGTTTCAAAGTTTAATTTAATGCTAGCCTAAATCACTTAACTAACTAAAATTAATCCTTGTTTTCTTCTTCTTCATTATGTAGGAAGATCACAGCATGATTCGAACCTGGGCTGGCTGGGCTCACCTGACATGAAAGTTCTGGACATTGACATTCCTATAGGGTGCAGTCTTTCTCTGACACCACAGAAGAAGGCCTTCCTTAGCAGATGTTTCTTAAAAAAACAGAGAAAAAGTGGTCTTCCAGTCCAGTTGTGTAATAAGCACATAATCACATGATTCAGTGTATTCTCTAATTCTCATAATGTTACTCATTAGCATTGATTTTTCCTTTGAAATATGGTTTTGAACATCTTCACATATAGCAAACTTTCTGCTTTGTATCTTCCACCAAATGGCATTTAATAAGAACACAACACTATGCAATCGTTTTCAAAATGGCAACCGCTTACCTTCCACTGAAATGTCCTGGATAGCAAAACGGAGGATGATAGTCCAGATCATACCCAAAGTCATCTTCACGTTCCCGTCCACAATTTCTACAGGAGCAGGACACCACTCAGTGAGTGAGATCCACAAAGCCTGTGCCATTGTATCAGAATTCCTGTACTCACACTGTAGTTACAGTATGTTCCATTGCCTTTTAAAGGTCCAAGTTTTAAACTACCAGACAACGTTCTTCAAAAAAAACAAAATAATAAATTCGCCATTCAGAATCAATCAGTAATTGAGTAAGTTCACTCATACGTTATCTCTTCTTTGATAAAATCACTTTACTTTTCAATAAACTCTTCATCCACAACTGTGCGTGAAGGCCTTTAGTTAGCCTTACATGGGACCACAGCTTTAACTGAATGCCTTCATATTCTAACAGAAAAAAACTAAGAGCTTGACAGAATAATACTGCTTAGTACCACAGCAAATACTTTTGCTATCTCTCCTGTCTGTATTAATTGATCACTGCAGAAGAAAGTATTTTCACTTTTGTTTACTTCAGTAGAAGCTCACAAGAGTTAACTGTAGACATTATTCTAACAGGTAATCAGTAATTGTTCACTGTGCACAGGGGCTTATAAACACTTTTTAAATCTGAATTGAGAAGCCTGGAAAAGCCTTAACTAGACTACAGTCCAATAAGGTAAGGAAGGCATGAAGTTACTTTTCATAGGCCTGAGTTTGGCCTCAAAATAAAAACTTCTGAAAAGCAAAAGATGCAGGTACCTTCAGCTCCAATGGATACCAGCTTCACTCCTTTACTAGCAATAAAATCTAGAGCTTTGTTGACATTAGCGATTTTGTGAAAACGCATCTTTCCTCTGTCAGGTTTAGGTAGTCTTTCACCTGTTTCAACAGAAAACACACAGACATGCAAGAATAGAACCTAAATAATTATTTCAGAAGAATGAATTACTCAGAGGACAAAAAACTGCAAAATCCACATTTGATCAAATAACTACAATGACGACAGTGATACTGATGAATTCAAAAGACAACCTGAAAAGGTCATCTGATTTAGCTCTAGTTGTCAGTACCTTCTGCTAGAGATCAGATTAAAAATGGTCACCACAGTTACCACACCACATGTTTAAACTAATACAGTGCAACAGTTACCTGAAATGACTTCCAAAAGAAGCATAAGTTTAAGGCCATTTCTGAAGTCATCTTCAATATTTTCAATTTGTGTTCCAGCTTTCCTCAGGTGAGAATTGCACCAGGCCGTAAAAGTCTGCAAGAAAAGATGCCTTTTCTTAGCTTTGCATTTAATTCTCTAGACTTTCTTTTATACATAATACTGCCCCATTGAAAAAAAATCTTCTGATTTCAAATCGTATTTGGGTGAAAACAAAACAATAAGCCAATACATTTTGGCAAGCTAAGAGTTTGTGTATTGGAACTCCCTACAGCATTGGATTATTCACCAGAGCTGCACAGATCACTTGGTCCTCACTGGAATCTTTAGATGCAAAATATAATTATCACATGCACAGATTTGACACAAAATAAAATCCACTGGTAGACTACAGCAAATCCCAGTGTCAGCAAATACATGTATACATCAACTGTACCCCTGGCCATGAAATTAACAAAGAATGACATTAAAACCATGTCAAAATGACCATACTAATGCACTCGTAAGAACATAAAAAAGGTTGTGTGGCCCATCTAGCAGATTCTAGGATCTCATCCAGCTGTTTCGTAAAAGATAACGGCTTCAACAACTTGGCTGTCTGGCTTGTTCCATACACCCACACCTCTCTGGGTAAAGAAGTACCTCCTGTTCTTGGTCTTAGGTTATAGGTCCACAGCGTTTACTCCCACATGAGTTTCTGATCTATTCATGGGATCATGAAGAAGTAAAAGACAAATAGTTATATCTGACTAACCCCTTTCCCATCTGGGAAGAGCAAAAATAGGAACTTTTGTTTTTCCTGGGCGCTTGGGAACAAACTGTGGTGAGGTATTAATTTTTAAACATGTGTAGAGAAATAGTTTGTGGGTCAGCCGCAAAACAAACCCTGAAGCGATCCTCGACTTGTAATACTAATATTCATCTTTATCTCTCCCAAGCAGTGGGGCATGTTTGCTATTGCAAGTATGGCTGTTAAAGACAGAAACAAAACAGTGGTGTACATTGTAGACCTCAGGCTAATCCATGCTTTATACTGCACTGACACTGAACAGAAATGTGTTTCTTGTACATGTCAGCTATCGCCTGTCTTTTCGCACAAAGGAGGTAGAGGTTTTGTATGAAATGGCCAGGCCACAACTCTGCTGAAGGCCCAGGAAGAGATTATTTCTGTCATTTTAAAATCTAAACAGTACAACTGGCTAATGTGAAAAAGTGAGAACTTAGGTTGCATAATGCCATTATGTAATTGTCCTTAATCGAAGTTTATATGGTGGTCTAAAAAACTCGATGAGGTTTTGGAACTGACTGGTAAAAGATTATCAAAGTGTATAAGATCCTTTCAGAGAAGCTCAGCTGTGAAACCATCCATTCTGCAGCCTGGAGAATCAAGAAGGTCTACACTCCTTCCTCCAGGCTTAACCGATGATCACAGTAACGAAGGTGCAAGCGAAATGCATGACCACTATAACCTAAATGATCACTCCAGCAACTCCAGTCTGGACCCGATACAAGGGCTGCACTTGAAATTTCTCAGTTTTTTTAATTGGCTACAGTTTGGCGTCGCCCAATCAACTGAACTGTCCTGCCCCCTCGGTTCTGGGCAAAAGGATTTCGGAGCACTTCCGCTTACTTAACTAGCGCCCTAAAAAATAGTTGAACTTTGTCAACGGTCAGATAACTACACTCACCCCGAATTCAGTTACTGCATCGGACTGTTTGATGTGCAGGAGGGCTATCCGTCCAGGAACGGGACCTATTGCACAGTGTCTACGTTACTGGGTGTCAACATTATTACGATCTTGTTTGCTCAGGTCGACCGACTCCTTGCAGTAGTTGACCCTTATACTTACAATCGTTATCTAACTAGGGCTGTAGTTATAGATGATTGTGCTTTCTGTTGGTTTTACAACAATATTTTTCTTAATGATTCAGAACCTCGTTACCGTCGATGTAGCTGCAGAAATGAACGCGTGTGGTATTTTGTCGCTCCAGGCAATAATATTCGCGAGAGTGCTGATGAACGTGAAACTGTTCTTCATCGCTAAATACCCAATGGCTCGTCGTTATCTTCTATCATTTAGCACTCATCAGTGGCATGGTTGCGAGATTTCAGTTGGGTAGTTGCAGCAGCTCCGTTTCAACCGAAATATCGCCGCCTCCCTACAGATCCGTTCCCTGGCGCCGGCCCTGCTTTAGATACTGCTTTGCATCTGTTTCAGCGACCAAAGTTGTACTCAAGTTGACTCGCATAACAATGGAAACATTTTGTTATTTAGCGCACCTCGTGTATTTATTGTGAAACTTTGGAAAGCCTTTTTTAAGCTAAAAATAAACAACATAAATAAGGCATATGCTACGTTGAAAAGAGCTTCGTACAAAACAAACATCCACTGTTTCTATTCAGACTGGAAGATGTCAATTCCAGTTTCTAATTCCAAACAATCCAGGGCTGTATAAGATGAGAACAGCTGTCCTTTTCTGTCATGCAAGTGAAGGATATATAATGCATTACACAAACAAAGCAGAATAAATACTGCTTACTGCTTAAATAGACACAGCCCTGGGCTTCCAGCTGTCAAAAGTGTATCGGGAATCATTAAAACCCTTTGGAGTTTTAAGACTTCAGAACATTTTTAATGACATAATCCAGAAGACAAAGGTTTTTAAAATTTAAGTTCTTAAAAACAGGAACATTAACCCTTTATGGTTGGTCAATGTTTAGAAGACCCACCAGTAGATGAAGGGTGTGAACTGAGGATCTGGGCTTCTGGTGGTGGACTGGAGAATCAATGGACAAAAATGAAGTGCTTGTTTGAGCTTCACCACAAATAAATAAACACGTTTGTTTATCATAGAAGTCTTGCATCATTGTTTGCAGCTAAATCATTGTTTTATGAATTCATCTCACTCATCATCCTTTAAAAATGTATAAAACCGACAATTTTTGGATCTATTAAGAGAATATATACACACACTCTGTATTTTTACATGGGTAAATTCAACAGAGGTGCACAGTGACCTGTTCGAACTGCTACATCCCCCTGCCTGTAATATTTACAACAACGTTGTACAACAACAGAATGTTTTTGAGGTACTTTTCTCCCAAAGCAAGCCTTCCTACAATATATTTAATACAAAAAAACTGTATTAAAAATACATCAAAATTTGACTTACAGACTTGTTCAGATTCCAGTCAGGAGAGGCTACTGAAGTAAGTGCATCCAGTTAAATGAGTCACCTTCATCCTCCTTCCACCCACTCCCATACTGCAAATGCAATTTGCTGCTGAAAACCTTGCACATATTTAAAAATAATGCATTGAAAAATCTCAGATTTAGCATTTTTCTAAAGAACCAGTAGTGGCACAATGTGATTCTTTCAATCAAACTGCTTGGTTTAGCATTTCAAATATTTACAGTAGATAAAGAATTTAAAAACAGAATCACCAGTTTATTTTTATAATATATATATAACTGGCCAGTTGTGTCTTTATGTCTTGGTTCAAAGCAACAACCCCTGTATCTCCATGTGGTGAAATACATTCATGCATTCACCTTTTCACACTCTTCGAGCTCTGCATTGGCATGAAACATCTGAGGAAGGGCCACATCCCCCACCGAGGGCAGTGAGCCAGCAGGCACCCAGGAAGTCACAGCAATGGCCCTTGAACTGGGGTTCAAAACATCCCTGGCCGTCCTGTCTCAATCCCACCACCAGAGGCGCTGTTCCCCATCGCGAACCGCGCAGGCATCGCTTAGGAAAGCCCCCTCATGATTGGTTCCCAGGCTGGAACACATGAAGTCGGGACCCCAGAGACCCCTGTCTACGCGCTTTTACCAGTTGGGTCATTCAGGAGCCACAACGGATGCAATACTTTGATATCGGCAAGAATTCAGTTCAAAGGAATTATTTTTCTGAAACGCAAAGGAAACGACTTATCAATTGTTAGACATTTTCTACCTGGCACTTTTAGATTGAGATTTTAGTTGGATGTGGGAAATATGGTCTAGATGTAGACAGTGATGTACACATGACAGCTTTCTTTAGACCAGCTTGCAATTCCAGGCAATATAAATCTCCACACCAAAGGTTTAAATTGATGTTGCTGTAGTAGACTTTGAGATAACACAAGATCATCTTTAAACACAAATGCAAATGTACTGCATATACTATAATAACCTAAAGAGTGAGTATTTTAAGAAAATAAGCACAAAGCCTGCAAAAGAGAAAATGTCAGTCAGCACATCTATCTTGTCTACATTTCAGTACGTGATGAATTCAAGAATCATATCCAGCCATTTGTTGAAAGAGGTAATACCCCATTACAGCTAATGAGAAAGGCAACGCAGAAGGACATGAATATACCAGAAATGTCCATCACTAACATTTTTCACAGTGACCAGCACTGCACTATGGCAGCTGCAGAATGACTAAGGTGGATGGCCTGTTATTGTTACATGGTCCCCACTGAAGATGACAACAGCATTCTTCTGCTCTTCACGTGGGCAGTGCCAGTGGGGCACCAGCGTCCATCTAACATGGTGGGCAAGTGGCAGATTTACGTTACTTCTCGACTAACCCCACACACACACCTTTGGAACAAAGCACTGCTTACGTATGACTAGAGGATATACCAATAAACATGATTCAGTGAGTTTAGCATTTATTTGAGATTTAGAGTCACATATTGTGTCACAGAACTATTTCAGAAATGGCGGCTTTCATGGCATTTAACAGTAGGAGACCTTCCTCCTACGGAATTAAGTCAAATTATATTCCATTAAAGCCTACAAGGGTCAGGGCAGTCATGACTTACATCCTGGAAAAGATCTATAGGGAAGGTCATTTCCCCTAAAAGCCTGCTTGGCCCGAGGCAGAGAGAAAGGGGTGGGAGATCTGAGGCAGAACTCCACTACCCTAATCCAAATCGAGAAAGTCTACTTTCCATATAAGTCGGACTCCCTTGAAGCTATTTCAGCTGGGAAGGGAGCTTCTCAGTGGGTCTGTCACCCTTACCCAAAGGGAGAGAGTAGAAGTCAGCCAGAGAGGTGGGAGATATCCAGGGATAATGCCCCTCCCCAGAAGAAAGATATACTATTACTCTCGCTGTGTCAGGGGAAGAGCCTGCTTCTATATTTACCAGAATATTGGAGCACTTGGAACAAAGATAGCATTCCAGTGGACAAAGCAAGTGCAAGTGACATTAAACCAGCGGTCAGCAAACATTTGTGTGGTTCCTAGAACTGCCACTGCTCTAAATATATTTGAGGTTCAGTGGGAATCAGAGACTTCCCTGGCAACACAGAAGCTGGACTAAAACATTTGCACCACATTTAAAAGGTAAATGTAAAAAAACGTTGTCCAGAGCACGATAAAGAAGGAATGTCATTTCACATTGAAACTCTCTACATAGTTTTTTTTTATAATTGTGAAATACTAAAAATAAATAGCTTAAGTGCTCAGAATGCAATAAATGATTCTGAAGAAAATCATTAGTTGAAAAACTCAAAGAGGAATCTTATCATTGATGCAATTAAGTTGACGGTGTCCCTGCCCTGACCTGTTTGTTGTACGCTGTCAATATAACTGAGGAAGGAAAGTGGCATAGCGTACCGAGCTTCACTTAAGAAATGCCCTCTCCCTTTCTCCCTATTCCACGTCGATAAGAGGATCAGTGTGGTGTAAAGTTATTAAGGAAAGCCTGCTATCCCTGAGAAAACAGAAGAGAAGCTCAGAAGAGCACATCAAAGAGTAAAGCACACACACTCTTCCCTGTGCCAGGGAAGAAACTGGAAACAACTCCAGAAGCTCTTCACCTGCTACCCTGCAGCAGACATCACTCTTATCAGCCAGGAGTTTTGCTTACAATCAAGGCAAAGTCTTCAAAGACAAGCTGAAACCTCTTGCTCAGTGGAACCACAGCAAGAAGGCAAAAGGTACATCGTTTCGATGCAGCGGTTGAACTGCATTTTGAGCCCATAACAACACAAAACAGCTCATGAGAAAAAACGTCTCTGCAGTAGAAACTTTAAACGATAGTATCAGATGCTTTAAATCTTTGCTGCAAATTACAGGTAGCACACAGGTGACAGGAGGCCTCATTTTACATGAGAATATTTAAACCTGGGAAAGCTAAGTCTAAGAAGAAAAACTGAAATGTGTTGATCACATGAATTTCATGCCCAAAAAAGGTCACTTGGAGGAAACAAGATTGTGTCAAGGATTGTATGAAGACAACAAGA